ACACCGTGCCCATCCAGGAGACCCATTTCCCATTCGTTTCATCTGTGAGTCCCTAGAAGGCTGGACGTTTGGTCTTTTCCAACATTTTGCTCACCTCTGGCTTGTCAGAGCTCTTGGGCCTCTGCAAATGCTGTTTCCTGTACTCTTCACTCTCTAATTTTCCTCAGAGCAGCTTTTTTGGGCAACTTTTCTTTTGCAAAATTCAGGTCAAAATTCTTTGCGCAAAGAGGTGGTGTTCCATTGTGGATAAGAACAAGGCTGTGCAGTCAGATGCACCAGTTTCAAACTCTAGCTTTGCCACTCATTAATTCTGTGGGCAAATTGCTTAACCTCTCTGAGCCCCAGTTTCTTATCTGTAAAATGGGACCACTGAGAACCTATTTCATGGGGTTGCTGAATGAGAGACTCGTCCATGTAAGGGCTTAGCGCCTGCCTGGGGAATGCTCGGGGAATGGCAGGCAACCCTATTACCATGATGAGTCTTCTGCAAATGATCAGACTTGAACTCTGGGGTCATTCTCCCATCACTTTGGGGAATAAGATGTCCTGCATTGCACACAGCTTGATTCATGGTTTCAAGTCGCTTTCTCATTGTTTCATATGTGTGGATTTAATCTCAAATGAATTGTGAGCAGTTGAAAGCTGGGCTCCAACACCCCCTTCCCTATTCCTCACACCGCAAGCCTAGTTTTAATATGCCAATGTCATTCATGGTGGTAAAGTACCCTCTTCTATGTTGTGGAGGAGTACTCAGTGTCTTCTCTGCCCTCTTGGAGAGCATTATCAGCTTTCGAGGGTCGAAGGATGAGGGATTTGAAATGCCCACAGAATTGCCTAGTTACCAGGTAGCTTGGCTGCTACATGTTGCTCATGGAAAGGACAATTACACACATGCTTCAGATAAGAGCCTGGGATACTCTGCCCTGTCATTTACTCCCAAAGATCCACTGTAACCAAGCGTCCCCTTGCAGACAGCAAGGGTCCCCAGCCCACTTTGTCAGTGCAGATGGCCTCCCTGCAGAGGGCGTGGTCGAAGAACAACAGCCAGCTCCCTGGCTAGGAGCCAGCTGGAAGGAATCATTTGTAGGTTTGTCAGGCTGAGGAGGACTAAGCAACCGAGGCCCACCTAGGGTAGCCTGAGCTGGGGCAGCCCCTGTCCCAGTAGCGCAGGAATTGGAGGCTGGGAAGTGAGGAGCATGGATGTCTGGTAACAGAAACAGCCTTTGCCAAATCTGAGTTTATGCTTCCAAAGCCATGAATACCTGGATTGTGTACACTCAGGGGTTTAGAAAACCTCTTAAAAGATGGGTGTGTGTGAGTGTGTGTGTGTGCGCGCACACGCACACATGCATGTTTCTGTGCATTTGTGCATTTCCGCCATAGGAGGAAGGTACCAGGATGCATGATGAGGAACTCCATAAATGATAAGGGCAGGAAGTATTTTAAAAATTTCATCATAAAAATAAGTGGTGATTGGCCATTCACGTGCTGAAGAGAAAGGTCCCCTTTGGAGACTATCTGACACACCTTCTTGATAATCTGATGACAGCAGGGGGTGGGCTAGGGGACATACAAATGTCCCAGGTGCAGTGGCAGTGGGAAGCCAGGGGAAGAGTTAGCAGGGGCTCTGCGAGGCAGCTCTGCAGAAAGCCAGAACCCCAAACTGGCTTTGGGTGTGGGGAGCAGGGACCCTTTTGTGTAGTGAGTGCTTACTGTATGTCAGGTACTTTACGTAGACTAGCGACACCTCACAATCTTATGAGGAAAGTATTAATTACCCATTTTACAGATAGGTGAAGTGAGGCTTAGAGGAGCAGTAACTTGCCCAGATGTTACCTGGCCAGTAATGGGCAGAGCCAGGATTTGAGTGCAGGCGGCTGACTCCAGAGCCTATGCTCTTACCCTGATCTCCTCTGCTTCCCCATCGCCAGTGCCACCTCACCTCCTGCCCACTGCCCGCCCCGCCCCCCGCTGCCTTCCTCTACTGCTTTCCCCTCTAGACTGGGAGCTCCCTCAAGGCAGGAATCCTGTTTCACTTGTACTTTTTTTCCTAGCACGTGGCACAGGGCTTAGCACATAGTAGCCACTCAGTAAGTGTTTTGAGAATGAGCAAATACATAATTGGACGAATGATGGAATGAATGGATACCCGGATGAGATAGAAACCTGGACTCCTAGGTCTAGGGAGCTCATCGTGAGGCAGCAGGCACAGCTCTTTTCCCACTTTGCTGTCCAGAAGGCATTCGCATCTCCCAAGAAGCAAGGATGTCCTGCCTGGTACCCTCAGTTTGGCTGTTGTTGTTATGACAACTGCTGGCCTAGGCTCTGGCTGTTCTCTTGGGAAGGGACTAGGAGAGCAGAGGGGGTTACAGGGGCCAAGCCAAGAGACCCCTCTCTATTCTCTGAAACTGGGGCCAGTGCTCCAGACCCCTTTGGTCAGGCACACAAACACTTCCTGAGCTCACACCTGGCCCTGAGGTAGATATGGAGGAAACAGTTCCTGTGGGTCCCATGCTGTGTGCTGAGGGAGCCGCCAGGGCAGGCAGACTCACATGTGACCGAGTGTGGTGGGAGGAGGTACTTAAGGGACAGCCTTGCCACTAGTAGGGGAACCAGGAAGTAGGAATTTGTCTGTAAGGAGCCCTCCCTAAGAACAATGGTAATAACTGCTACCATTTGCATTGTTGTTGAGTTTATTATTCATTAGGCCCTAAGCTAAGTGCTTCAGATGTGCCCTCTTTACTCAGTCCTCTCAATGGCTCTGTGAGGTGGACAGCATTATTCCTATTTTGTAGAAGAAACTGGGACAAAACCAGGCTCAGAAATTTTGAGACTCACTGAGCTAGGACATGGTATAGCCTGAATTTGGACAGAGAGCCCCAGCTCTTAGCCCCAGTGCTGTTTAGATTTACTGCAATCTGTCTCATTGGTATTTGCATGACTTTACCACTGGAGGAGTCTGGGCACCTCGCAGGCAGGACCTCACACGTGGGCTTCCATTTGTGTGGGGACATGGAAATAGGGCAGGGGTCTACCTTTCCTTGTCTCTCTTTGGATCATTAAACATCCAGGCTGAGCAAACTTGCAGCTCGAAGTCTCGCCTTATTCTGGATAAGTGGAGCCTCGGTACCTTACCTGCTTGGCTGGACTGTAAAATGCTGCAGAGAGGAAATAAATGTGTGGAGACAGCTTCTTAGAAATCGTTCCAGACAAAGCCATGCATATCAAGAGAAATGAATGCCACCAACCCTGTGGCCCGGAATCTGGTTCTACTTGACGCTTCTACTGTGGTCTCTGTTGGCCCTGTCTCCTGGGGTGTGGAAGATATGTGGGTTGACTCATGTCTTTGGCTGGGAGATCTTGGGGCTGACCTGCAGGTTCAACATCTGGGGGGCCGATTCACCACTAACCATGACTTTTGGGACAGACCCAAGGCCACTGTCAGCCTTTGGGGGTCCAACCACTGTCCCAAGAGACCTTTGGTCTAACATAGCTCAGGCCACTCTTCAGGAATAGTTGAGCAATGAGACCATGGGGGCTGGGTGAGTCATCTCTGGCCAGTTGGGAACACAGGCCCGAGGGTGGCTTGTGAGAAGTGGCAGGAAATAGGTCTTTGCTTTCTGTTTCTATTTTAAATAGTTACCCTAAGAGAAACTTAAAATATCATATCGTGGGTTTTAAAGAAATAGATGAGATCAAATTCTTCTCATTGTCCTACCCCACCCCTGCCCTGCAAATCTTACCTTGAACTTGTAAGACCTACCTTTTCTCATAAAGAAAAGTAGAAATATCTTTGTCTCTGAGGTTTATGCGGTTCTATCTTGTCGGGAAATAATTTGTTGTTGACAGTTTTATTTCCTGGTTTCTTGGTGGCGCTTAAAGGAACATCAAAGGGATGGAAAATGCCACTTTTTCCTATAAAGCAGGGGCCTCACATTGTGCAGGAGGAAATAAGCCAGCCCTGGACTCAGATGAATGGAATACAAGCATTTGGGAACAGAACAATTGCATTGATTTGATTTTTTTGGGGGAGGTTCTTCACATTTTCCCATGTTTAAGGGAGCTAAAACTGTTACAGCTCAAACCAGGAGCTCATCTGGCTGCTCTTCCATTCCCATCATGCCATGCGGGCCTCAGAGCCACATCATTTCACCTTTGGTTACTCACCACCCTACATGGTTCTCTGACCATTGGACTTGTCTTCAGAGCCCTTGTTGCCACATCATTTCACCTTTGGTTACTCACCACCCTACATGGTTCTCTGACCATTGGACTTGTCTTCAGAGCCCTTGTTGCCACATCATTTCACCTTTGGTTACTCACCACCCTACATGGTTCTCTGACCATTGGACTTGTCTTCAGAGCCCTTGTCTTATACTTCTGTTCCCCACACAGCACCTGACCCAGGGTGGAACATAGCCGTACTTGGTTAAAAATGCCTTTTGCTCATTCTGGAGTCATGATGATTGAATAAATCTTAGGCAATAATTTATTTTTATGATAAGATGCTTGGTGGTGAATCTACAGACAGCAAGTTGGTGAATACAGAATATAGTGATTACCAGGAGAGGAAGGATCACTTCGAAGCAGCATTTATGCACAGAAGTGGTCACTGCAGTGTTGTTTATAAGTAGCAAAAAAAGTGGAGACACTTAAGTGTTCCTTAGTAGAGGAAGTTGGGTAAATTAGGGTACGTCTATACACAGTGAGATAGTAAGTAGCTCTTTCAAAGAATGTGGTAGAGCCAAATGTTCAAAAAGATATCCAAGAAAGGTTAGATGGTATAATGTAATTTAGGGAAGCAAGACCAAAAAGAATGCATCCTCACACGATACATACATAGAAAAATGTTGGAAGTGTATACAAGAAACTTCATATTGGTTATTACTGGGGAATGGACGGAGATGTTAGGAGTGGAAGGTTTTATCTGTTACTTAATTTTTCTGTCAGTGGTTGAGCTTTTTTTTTTTTTTTATCATGACTGTATTGCTTTTATTTAAAAACAAAAAACTAGTTAGAAAAACAAGCTCTCTTTGGATGGTGATGAGAAAAGTTAGCCCTAAAAGGACAGCGCCCTTGTCTTATTCTTCTCCAGGTACCCCTCCAGGGTTGGTAGAGTGTGCCAAGCCAGAGCAGAGCAAAGTGGGCAGGGATGAGGTAAATTGAAGGAGTTGAAGGAATTGAAGGCACACATTTCCTTCACTGTGTGGTTCTTGGCTCTGTCTGCTCTCGGTCTGTCGGCCAAACCAAATCACCTTCCGGCTCTATCCCATGAGGTGGGGTTAGGATGGAGCACGGGCATGTTCTGAATTACAGCCTTCAGAATCACTTGTTAGGACTTCTGTGACATTCACTGACCGCTGCCCGTCGCCACCAACCCCACTCTAGAAGCAGGCCAGAACTACCTCCTCTCCCCCAGCATCTAACATAGTACTGATCACAGTTCAGAACTTTGTAGTTTGGGGCAAATCAAGGTATTGTCTAACTTAAAAATCGCCAATAGTTTGCTACTGTATTAAGTCCAAATTTTATTATGAAATAACTTATTGTATGAAGTTCAAATTTACCTGGGTTTAGCATTCGAGGCGTCCTATGGTCAGGACCCCACTCAACAGTTTCAAAATAATTTGCTTTGATTTCTTAGTATATATCAGCATATATCCCAGTACTGCCTGGGTTTGAATCCTGATTTTGCTACTTAACACTATGTGACCTTGGACAAGTCCCTTAATTCTCCAGATTCCTAATCTGGAAAATGGGAGAATAACAGCACCTATGTCATAGGACTGGCAGAGGAATTAAATAATACACATAAAGACAGGTAGAAGGGTGCCTATCCCGCAGTAGGTGCTACTTAAATGTTGCTTATATCTAATATGCTTTCCTGCCCTCACTCCATGGTGCTGGCTAGAATGCTTTTCCTGGTCAGTCTTATCTTTCGGAAGCTGTATCAGCTTGCAAAGACCCTTTCTGGAATTCTGCAGGCTGCCTCAAAGATGGGTTAGAATTATCCTATTTTGCTGTTTTTAAAGTTTCCTGAAAGCATAAGAATAAAAAGGAGTGAAAGCATCTTCTCGTCAATAGGAAATCCATCCTCCTTCCCAACTCTGCCCTGGGCACCTCACAGACTTCCTGAAGTTCAAAACAAAAACAAGCTTCCACTTCTTGCAAGAATTTAATTCTTCCTTTAATATAAATAAGGCAGCATGAAACACCAAGAGCCTGCTGCTTTCTGCTTCATAAGCAGCTTTTGTGCATAAAAGATCTCCATTTTCCTACTGAATTCTGTCCTCTGTATAAACAAGAGGCTAGAAGGTATTTTTTTTTTTTCAGTGAACTTTCTCCCGGAAGCAAAAGTGAAGCTGAGGGAGAGCCAGGCTTTGTCTTGGCTTCTGGAGGCTGGTTCTTGGTTCCTGGGGTCTCTTCCAAGTACAATGAGATAGGATAAAGAGGGGGAAAGGAAAGTCATAGGCAATAATAAATAAGGAAATTTACCCCGATTCGGGAAATTAATCTCGACAGAACGGGGGGCTTCGGGCTATTGTTGGAGACCATGTGGGCAGGATCAGTCCCTGGACCATCCCAGCCACTGTGGGCCTGGGGAGGTGCAGGCTCAAGTCCACCTAAGTCCAGCTCACATGGATGCCCCATCGAAGCTGGGCCTCCTGCCCTGAATTAACCCTGTCAGGCAAACTGTCCATCTTCTTGAGCACTCTGAGGCTAGATGGGAGCACTCCTGGGGTAGGGACAGAATCTTTTCTTCAGTTTGTGGTGAGCCTGACACCTCCATGGAATTGGCTGTGCTGTCTGGGAGGCAGGGCCAGCTTACTCCCTGGAGGGAGACCCCAGGTGCTGGTGAAGGCACACTCATTCTTGTTTCCTCCTTGGTCCTCTGCAAGGGTTACTGGGGGCAAAGCCAAAAGAAGAAAATCCCAAAGGACCAGTGAAGCCACAGGGGAGGAGGAACAGCTTCCCAACCCTCCCGAACCAGGCCTGGAGACAGAGGCCAGCTCCAACCACAGGCTCTGGTGCCCGCCAAGCAACCGCAGTCCCCAGCACTGCCGAGGTGGCCTCTCTGAGGCCTGGGGGCTGTGCCCCCAGTGCTGTCTGTGTGTGTTCGCAGTCAGCTGAGCCAATGTCAGGCTCTTTGGGTTTCAGTCATCTGTGTAGCCAGCAAGGCCCACCCAGAAAGGGGGTGCTGTGCAGTGAGGGACCCCTGCTGGAGTGAACAGTTGAGGGGGTCTTGGGGCCTGCAGATGGGAGCTGGTTTTCCATAGCGGCTCTTGCTTCCAGGTACACCCTGCTCTAGGACTGGGACCTGCTCTAGGAGGGGGACTCAGGGCTACGGCATCCCTCACCTCCCGTCTCTGCAGCTTCCTCTGAACTGGACATCAGAGGCCAGACTACAAGCCAGAGTCCAGTGCCCTGGGTGCCAGGCTATCCTTCACTCCAGTCACTCTGTGTCACTCATCAGCTTCAACCTTCAGCGTCTGCCACACTGGTGGTCAGAGAGACCAGCTGTAGAGAGAATAAAGAGGGGTGTGGGGCTGCTGAGCTTGTATCTGGCATGGTATGTGGTACCCACAGTGATCGGGAGAAGGGGCAAGAAAAGGGGGTGCACCCTGAATGAGATGTGTTGCTGAAAAAGTGACTGACTTAACCTTCTCTCTGTCACCAAGTACACACTTCTGTGCAACAGAGACATTAGCCACTTGGGACCTTGAATCTCTACGAGGCCTTTTCCTCAAATAGTATAAACAATGGCAGTCACAGTGGGACCCCGATTTTGCAGGCTGTGGATGGAAGGCAGCAAATTCCCACAACTGTCCCTACTGGTGCTTTGGTTGCAGATGCTCGGGGCCAAAGGCTCCTGGAAATAGGGGTGCAGGGTCTTAACATGGATCCGTCAGTACTCCTGTCGATCCTCTGTTGATATTCACGTAAATACTGAACCTGGGGTGTAAAAAGAATTGCACCCAAATTGATGTTACATTATCTCCAACTCAGCGTCCACTGAGTGTTCCGTCATTATCTTGGCCATTTGTGATGATCCAAAAGCGAGCTGCAAAGGATCGGTCTCCAAACCCAGATCATAGCTTTACTAGCAGGCTCCAACGGCACGAAAGCAAACCAGCTTCTGGCTTGGAGTTCTGTTTTCTCCACGCTCGGGCCTGGCTTCCCTGCAGGCTGAGCCACAGATAGCCTGCCATTTTCCCAGGAGAAGGTCTACACAGGTGGGATGTCTTGCGTCTTGGCCCTCAAGGTCTCGGCTGCTCTACGAGATGACAGCTTTTTGGGGCAGGCTGGCATGGTCTGAGGGTATATGTAGGGAGTACTCGCTAATGAGCGTGGGGGCATTCTTGAGCAGCTCATAGAAGGAGTCCACTGTCTGCCGGTAGAGGCTTCGCTGCAGGACGAAGGGCCGGAAGAGGTTGAGCGGCTCGGCCCTGCGCACGGCCTCAGGGAGTCTCATGGTGTCAGGCAACTTGCGGTTGCCGATGAAGAAGTGATGGAGCTTCTTCTCGAGCAGGCTCTTCTCCAGGAAGCGGAGCAGCTCGTGCAGACGAGCATTGAGCTGCCCGGCCTTCCAGTCAGCAGCCCGCCCGGAGAGCAGGAGGTGCAGCAGGGCTGTCTTCAGGTGGTAGTTGCCCAGCCCGCTGGGGCCAGTCAGGCGGCTCTGCTTGGAGAGCAGGAAAGAGGCAATCTGCAAGCAGCTGAGGTGGCAGGCGCCCTCGGGCAGTGCCTTCGATGTGGTCCTGAGGAAATGTCGCTCATAAACAGCGAAGGACAGGAGCCAGTCAGTGCTGGACACTGGGGTCTCCCCGGAGAGCTCCCGAGGAAGGTGGGAGACAAAGTACAGGTCCGAATCGTCGCACTGGATCACGGGAATCAGGTTGAAGGGCATGAACTTCCCTGAGCGGAACCTGATCTTGAGGGACCCTGGAGTGTCCAGCTGGCCAAAGGCCAGGTCAAACTCGTACTTGTGGGCGATGCGGTGCCAGGCTCTGGTGAGGGCCGTCTGGAACCACTTCATGACCTGCATCGTGTTCAGGTATGGGGAACCTTTGGCACACAGTGGGTCTTCCACCTCGCTGCTTGGCCGCACCAAGTTGTTCTTGCCATGGAGGAGACATAGCATGTCTTCCCCAAGCTTGGTCTTGCCACAGATACAGCCCAGTGTATCCTCGTCAGCCCGGACCACCTTGATCTGGCCGTAGCCCTGGAGATCCAAGGGTGCTGAGTGGCTGGAGCACCAGAGCTCTGGGTGGAAGTGGTAGGGCTCAGGGGGTATGAAGGGCACAAAGAGGTGGCACAGCAGTGGCTTGTCCACCTGCCAGTTCTCGTACATGCTGTCCACACCAATGAAGTCCTCCACCTCCATGTCTGTGTCCCGGTTGCAGAGGCTCCTCAGGGCTTCCAGCAAGTCATCCACAAAGCCTTCTACGAACTCCCGGGTGCGGGCCGCATCGGCTGTGGCCCCCCGGATGCAGTGCTCATAAAAGTGATCCAGTGTGGCCTTGTTGGGCAGGGTGAGGCCTCGGAGGGGGGCACCCTCCAGGCCAGGCAGCTCGTCCTCGTCCCCACCCAGGCACTCCGGCGACAGCCCATCTTGGTGGTCCTGCCGCCACACCTCGATCACCAGGAAGAGGATCATGCAGAGGGTACTCCACAGGTCCCAGGCCGTGCGGGTCTCATTCTGCTGCTGGCCCTCCTCTTCCACCCGCTCCAGGGCCTCCTTCTCAGCCACCAGCCGCGCTACCTCCTCTTCCAGGCGCAGCTGCTCCAGCTGCAGCTTCTCGTGGTGCGCCTGCATCTTGAGGATGATCTCCTCCTCGTTCTCAGGGACCGTGGCATTCTCTCGTGGGAACAGCAGCGGGTGGTTGATGATGGCTGTCACTACCACCAGACACACCCGGAAGAGCCCCAGTGCCATGGCTGGAGCTTTCCTGGGAACAGAAAGAGACTTATAGTCACATCAAGCTTCCTTCAACACCACTTATTCCCTGGACCCTCCCACCAACCCCTGCTTTCTGGAGCTAGTGAATATCTTACAGTTCTCCCCACCACCCAACCCACCATCTCTTCATGTGCTTCGGTCTAGCCTGCGGAACAAGAACCCCAATGTCCCACACCAGCAATCCTAGCTGAACAACCCACTGTGGCAGACCTCTGTTTTTATCCGCCCAGATATTCCTCTTTCTGGTAGCAGCACCTCACTTTCCCTGGTAACCAAGCCTTTCCTACTCCCAGTCCTTATGGCTTGGGTGAGAATAAACCCACCCCCAGCTCAAGGGGTAAGCATATAACCCAGGCCAAGACTAGTCCCCCACAACCACTGGCCAGCGATTGGTTCAGACATGAGCATATGACCCCATTCAGGCCAATGGGAGACAGAGGTAGGATTTGTTGGGGCCAATGGGAATAGGATTACATGCGCTATTGGCTTCCTAGCTGCCTCAAAGCAGGTCTGCCTGAGAAAGACACCAGCACAGAGGAAAGCAGACCCCCTGGTCCAGCTATGCCTGAAGCCATTCTCTCTAGACTTTTTAGTCATATATGTCAATAAATTAGCCCTTTTGATGAAGTCAGTTTGTTTTTCCATCACTTAAAACCAAAATAGTCCTGAATGAGACATCCCTTTCTCCCTACAGTGAATGTCTTGTGGCAAATGCATCTTTACTCAATGCAGTAAAGCCTAGTGGTTGAGGATAGGGGGGCTGGGTTCCTAAGCCAGCCCTGTCATTGATTAGCTGCAAGATTGGGCATGTTAACTCACTTCTCTTATTGTGTGAGAGGAAAGCCATAGTACCCACGGGGTCATCATACTGATGGATGTGATGATCCATGCAAACTGCACACACAGCACAGTGAAAGGGGCAAGGCAATTTTCACTGAACTACTTTTAAGCCCTTATCTTCACACGCTGTAAACCTTTCCTTCTGATCTGGAAGACCCCACCCCAAATTCAGACTCTGATCTCCTGGCCTTCCCCTCGGTCTTTCCCCAGGACAATCTTGGAGAGACCAGAATGACTAAGTAATTGGTTTTCTTCTCACAAGTCATCTGAACTTTTAATCCCATTCTTGTGAAAAGAGACACTCCATTCCTCCAGGATAAATGGAGTTTTAGGTCTCAAGTGACTTTTGGGGAAGGGCTGACCCCTTACAAATCACTGCTATTCAGAGTGTGTAGTTGTACTAGCTCCTGGGAGTTTGTTACAAATGTAGAATCTCGGCCCCACCCCAGACCTATTGAACCAGAATCTGCATTTTAATATCATCCATATTAAAGTCTGAGAAGCATCGTCTTACAGCGAAAGGCTTACTGTTATACACTCTCTTCTCCCTGGCAGGAAACTTAGGAAGTAACAATGGGCCTTTTCCACACTTGCCCTGCCCACTTCCGGCCTGAGACCTCAGCTAGGAGAGCCAATGGCCAAATGAGGTTGTTGGACAACAAAGGGAATATAGAGCCCCCCACACCCCCACCCCGCCGCCTCCGTGCATGCCAACATCTGCTGATAGGAGCTTCTTCATTTGTTTTGCCTGAGCCCATTTCCTGATCTTGAATTTGGACTCTGAAAATCACCTCTTCTGGTTCTCACCCTAATGGCGCCAAGGAGCAGGGGCTTGGTACCAGGTAAGGACACCTCTGCAGGTTCCACCTTGCAGTGCCAGAATGTAGATGACCTGAGTTGTTATACTTGAGCAAAGCCTGCTGCCTAGATATAATTCTAATGTAGAGAGGAGGCAGGAGAGTTAAAATGTTAATCAAGCTGCAAACGGAAACTGCAATATGCTGATCAGCCCTACAGCCAGCCCAGGAGGACACCTGCAGGACAAAGGAAGATTTCTGCTGGGATTGCCAACAACCCATTCCCCCCACACTAGTGAAGTGGAAACAGGAACCAAGTCATTCCCTGTGGCAAAACCATGGGGAACCTATGGGTTAAAGGCTGGGAACTGCCAGCTGGCCTTTCTCTACACACTCACCCTTTCACGCTATGTAATCCTCCCCTTCTTCACTGTATGTCCGTATCAGAGGAAATGGGAACTAAAGAATGACATATAAATGGAATTCCCTGAACACTCAGGGTTCCTCTCAGTGCCTTAATTGTCTCTTTCACTGTCCTCATCTCTATCGTCTCTGTTCTTCTGAGTCCCCCTCAGTACCTTTACTCTATCCCTCTCATTCTCTGCCTCTGAGGAGACCGCGCTCTGTCTGTGGAGTGCTATCCCTTCTCTAATAAACTGTCCTGTTGACTCTAACTTGGGCGTGTATGTTGAATTCTTCCTACACTCTCTACCCTCTTCTCTCGGTGCAGGCCTTGGTCTCCCCGGGGGCAGCTAGCCAGCTTTTCTTCCCTAAGACAAGGAGCAGCTTGTTTGATAACTGTAGAAACTCGGGGAATTTGCCCTGTCCTGCATCAGCGTCACC